ATTAATAAAATAATCTTACAGCTTAATAGTAGCAAACATGATTATTATAAATATCACTTTCTAACATCTTATATATTACATATATATATATACATCTTAGTTTTTGTTTATTAAAATTTAATAAAGATGAATACAGAATAATTTACACAATTCATAATAAGTATCACTAAATTAATCAAGATTGTAAAAAAAGATAGTCTCTCTGATTCTAAATCTGTATCTTATCTCTCAGTAAAACTACCTATCTACTTTAAAGAGTCAAATAAAAATATACTTATCTAAATAATACAAGTTAAAATAATATTCTAGATTCAAGAAATTACTGATAAGAAAACTCAAATATAATATGTTATCATCTTCTTGATAGATATAGTTTTATATTGATATTTTTAATAAAGTCAAGACAGATAATAGTATATCACCTTTTGAAAACTGGAATATTTTTGTTATAGCTCTTAGAAATATATTTCAATCATCACATTATTAATAATATTTTCACAAATAATTATATCTTCTTTGTCAAATTGATTTAGTACAAGATTATAATACTAAATTCAGAAATATAGTTGATTAAATAACTAATATGGATGATTTAGATTAAGTCACATATTTTATAGAAGATTTGAAATTTGCTATCAAAATGAAAATTAGTTATTAGATATCAGAAATCTTAAAAGATACTTGGAAATTAGTCATTTACTATAATATTACTATGTATAATCATGATAGATCTTTAAGAATATCAAATAGATAAAATAATAATCATCACTTTCAGAATTAACATAAAAATCATTAAAATAATAGTTCTATACTAATAAGACTTATCCAGACAAAAAGTTATTACAATAACAGAAAGAATAATAATAATCAGAAGAATAATAAGTCCAAAAATACTTATTATAACTATGACAAATCAGATCACTTTGCAAAGAATTATTATTCAAAACCAAAGATCAAAATTGTAAATATTAAAAATAAATAAGAAAAATCTTCATAATCTTATGAGAGAGTTGAATTTGCTTATCTTGAAGATAATAAAGAAAGATTATTAAAATTTAATAGTCAAGTAAATGACAAACCAGTATGAGTTTTGTTAGATAGTGACACATCAAGAAATTTTATAGATGAGAAATTGTGCAAAAGAATAAAGTGAAATTATAGAAGATTATATCAGTTATAGTTAAACTTATTGATAGTAAAAAGATAACAATCATCATCATAATAAAGATTGATATATTAAAATTAGATACTTACAGAATGCACAAGATGGATATACAGGTATTAAAATTGTAGAGATATGATCTTATCTTAGATAAATCTTGATTATTTCATGTCAACTCCATTATAAATTAGAGAAATAATATCATAATTTTTATCTATATTATCCAAAAGAGCAGTTGATCATAAAATTGACCTCATCCCAGAATCTGAATCACTATCCAGATTCACCTACAGACTTTCTTTTACAGAAATAGATAAACTCAAGAAATAATTAGCTAATTTAATATAGAAAGATTTTATTCATTCTAGTATCTTACTATTTGGAGTATTAGTTCTTTTTATACATAAGAAAGAAGATATATTAAGATTATGTATTAACTGTAAAGCTTTGAATAAAATTATCATCAAGAATCATTATCTCTTACTAAAAGTTAATAAGTTGATAGACAGACTCACAGGCTCTAAGTATTTCTCAAAGCTAGATTTATATTCAGGATATTACTAAATTCACATTGCAGAAAAAGATATATATAAGATAGTATTTAGAACTCACTATGAATACTATGAGTTCTTGATCCTACCTTTTAAACTCACCAATACATCTGTCACCTTCGTAATACTCATAAATAATATATTTCATGATTATCTTAACAAATTTATAATCATATACACTACCTGGATAAAAGTCTTGCACATCGAAAATTTTTAATTACATAAAATTGCACATAATAATTATATTTCAAATTTTAACAGTTTATACTTTAACTAATGAAATAACTATATATAATCAATATTTAGTAGGCTAGTCATTGCTTGTAATAACTACTTTTATTCTTTGTGATATACTTTCTATCAAGCTAATTATTTGATTCATTGAAATTTTATCCTATTCTTCTTGTAATGCAGTTTCTAATTCTGTAATATTTTTTATGGCTTGTGATCACTTTCTTATTTGTCTTCTTAGCTCTGACCATAAATGCTCAATTGGATTTAAGTCAGGAGACTGACTTGGCCAATCTGGTAAAACATTAACTTTGTTTGTGAACATCTACTACTTGACATCCTTTGCAGTATGGACTGGAGCATTATCATCCTGAAATAGATATTCCTTGCCATTGAATTCCTTATTTATCAAAGGCAGTAAATGTTTTTTCAGTATCTGTATATAATCTAGTCTATTCATTTTATCCTCCATCTTTACTAATGGATCCAATTCTTTACCTGAAAAACACCTCCACACTATTAGTCCTCCACCTCCAAATTTTACAGTTAGAACCATGTTTGCAATATTAAACCTAGTGCCAGGAGTTCTTCAGATGTGACCTGGTCCATCATTGACAAATATTGTAAATCTACTCTCATCACTCCAGATGACAGACTTCCATTTTCGAATAGTCCAGTTTCTTTTTTGAATGCATCATCTTAGATATTGTTCTCTTTGCTGATCACTAAGAAGAGATTTATGAGCTGGTATATGAGAAAAAATCTGCATTTTGTGCAAATTTCTTCTAATAGTTTTTGTGGAAACTTCAATATTAGTTTTTTCAACAAATTTGTTTTTAATTACTTTAGCTGATTTCTTATTATTATTTTTAACAATAGTCTTTAGAATTTTTTGATTTCCATTAGTCAATAATTTTGGATGCCCAGATCAGGGACAGGTAGCAAGGTTGTCTCCATTAAGATACTTAGCAATAGTACAAGTGATAGTTGCTCTATGAACTTTGAGCACTCTACTAATTTTTGGTACTGATTGTTTATTTTTGTAAAGGCTAATAATTTCATCTCGTTGACTTTCAGTTAAGGGATGCATTTTAAAATCAATAAAGATTAGAAGTATTTGTGAATTTATTTATATATCCTGATGTGTATTTACAAATAACACAAAAATTATATACGCATTTGTTCAAAACCAAAACAACATTATATTAAATTTTGAAATATAATTATTATGTGTAATTTTGTACAATTAAAATTTTTCAGTGTGCAAGACTTTTGTCCAGGTAGTGTATCTAGATGATATCTTAATATATAGCAAAATAAAGAAAGAGTATATTCAACACCTTCAGATAGTATTAGAAATACTTTGCAAATACAAATTATATGCTAAGTGAAAGAAGTGTGACATTATATAATAATATATAGAATATCTTGGATATTTTATCTCAGCAGATTTGCTTTGACAATATCAGAAACAGATTGCTTTGATATTCCATGCTCAGCAGCGATATCTTTTTTTTAATGCCTTGTCATTTGCAAGGCGTTCACAAATTTCTTTTTTTTGAAGTGCAGTTAATGAAACGTGAACTTTTTTTCTTGTCGGCTAAGTGGGTTGTTGCTGCTTTTCGTTTAGCATTTGTATTATCCGGAGCTTGGTTGCTTGAGCTTGGGGTGGGCGGAAAGTAGGGGAAAGAAGGCGAAAAGAGGGGAGAAGCGAGTTCGTTTTCGGTAGTCATAAAAGTCGTGGTTTACCATTCGAGATTGCGATTTAATGATTGGTAGAAGCGTTAACGGAGTCCGTTATCAATATTATATTACACCGGACGCCGCTTTAACTATTTCGGACTTCGGTCTAACTTCGTTTTACACAAAACCGGTTTATCGATCATAGGCTATTATTAGGTCGTCCAGCCGGATCCGCTATAAATATTTTATTAATAAAGTCCGCTATACATATTATTAGAACTTTTCGTTCCTAAAAAAAGTCCGTACTAAGCGAATCCGTTATATCGATAGTCCGTTATATCGACTTTACTGTGTAATGGTCCCAATTGTCCCAAAAAGCACTTTTGCAAGATATTCAACGTTGGTAAATCTGCCAAAAGGAATCTATTCGAATAATTTAAGTCTTTCAATAATTTTGTTGCATTACTCGTTTTTTTGACAATCAGTTCATGACTCATCGCAATATCCTTCATGAACTAAACACTCATCGCAATATCCATTCTCTTGATTGGGAGTGAGATGAAAAAATTATGCCAAATTCTACCCGTAGGTTCGAGTAATCAATTGAATTTTATCGGCCTTTTATTTCTATATGACTAATACTTTCATATTTTTATTTGATATTTTCATTATTTGGTGTTCTCTTTTACAAAAAGTAATCATAATTTTAATTACGCTAATTTATCCTAGTTTTGTGTTTTATGTTGTGAATCTTCCTAAAGGATAGTAAAGAACAAAGATCATAACATGTAGCATTAATTGAAATGAAGAAATTTTGGTTAAATGGATTCAGTCTGATGTTTCAAATTATTTAATGAAATCTCTTATATATACATTTATTAATTTTCTTAATCTAAGAATTGTATTTGTCATTTTCAACCAAATAAAGAAAATATCCGAAATGAATACATGTACATCACATAACTTGTAACACGCGTTGTAACGTTTAACGCGATTTATATTATGGAATCATCCTTCTACTAATTGAGGCAGACTCTAAAATTAATGAAGCTGAAAATTAAGAATTAATAAATGAAGACAATAATAAAACAGGCAACAAGGGAAATTTAATTCAAAACTCTAATAAAACTTATTGAAGTAATAAATAATGAAATGGATCATCAACTATTATAAAAGAAGTGTTGCTGCTCTCTTTTTTTGATTGTGAAAAGTCCAAACTGTTCACCACAAACTTAAAAAACACGATCCTTTTTTTCTTTTTCAATTATTTGATATAGACGGGTTTCTATATCTTAACAATACAGAACTGGTTCTGTCGCACTTATTTACGATTATTCCTTGCATCATCGCCACTTAAACAAAATCACCAAAAAATGAAATTCCTTGCAATCTTAGCATTATTGATGACGGCAACGTCATTAACAATCGATGCGAGACCAACCGGAAAAGCTGGCCAAATTTCACTTTCAATTAAGAAGAATGACTTACCAGATTACTTCTCATGGAAACAAAAAGTAAAGGTTAACATGAATCGGGCTTTGTTAAAATATTCGAAAAATATCCAAAAAGCATACGATGCAGGTCTCGTCGGTCTAGACGCAATTCAACAATTAGAAGCGGCATCTATTCCTGTTTTTATTGCTAGTGCATCAAAAATTTCCTTAGCTAAGAGGAATTTCAATGCAAATAATAACTCGACTGCATTTGCAACTAGTAGCTCGACTAATTCCGGAAAAGTAGTAAGTAGTCCAATAAACGATGAAGGCAATGATATTGGTTACTTTGGTCCAATCCAGGTCGGTGGTCAGACTTTTAATGTTGTCTTTGACACTGGTTCCGCAGATCTTTGGGTTCCAGATCAAAATTGTAATGATCTAGCATGTAACTCTCACAAAAAATTCGATCAAACATTAAGTAAATCATTCAGTAGTAATAATGCACCGTTTGCCATCCAATATGGTACTGGATCTGTTTCCGGAGTAATTGCCCAAGAAACTGTTTCTATCTTTGGAGCTGTATCTAACAATCAAACTTTCGGTTTAACGCAAACAATGTCTAATGACTTCGCGAATACCGAATTTGATGGAATTCTCGGAATGGGATTAGATCAATTAAGTTCAGAAAAAGCTAAAACTCCTTTCACTCAATTATTCGAACAAAAAGCTGTGTCGAGTCCAGTCTTCAGCTTTTTCCTCGGTCGCAAAAAAGATAGCACAGACACTCAAAGCCAACTCACTCTTGGTGGGGTTGATCCTACTAAATTCACTGGAACTATCAATTTTAACAAACTCGTAAGTCAACTCGGATTCTGGGAAATTGCTTTGGATGATGCTAGTGTCGATGGAAAGCCACTTGGTTTCACGTCAAAAACCGCAATTATCGACACTGGAACGACTCTTGTTATTATACCACCAAACGATGCAGCCGCACTTCACGCCCAAATTCCAGGCGCAGTCAATCAACAAGGCCAATTTTTTGTTCCTTGCGATACTAAATCTGTCATAGCTCTCACATTTGGTGGTGTCAGTTACAATATATCACCTAAAGATTTAGTTCGCGATCCCATTAATCAACAAAATCTTTGTGTCTCAGGGTTCGCTGGAGGTTCAATCGGTGGAGCTAATCAATGGTTGGTTGGCGATACTTTCCTCAAAAACGTTGTCTCTGCATACGATACTCAGCAACTTGCAGTTGGATTTGCCCCAGCAAAACAAATATTATAAAATACAAAAAGTTAATTTCTTATGAAACCTCCTTTTAAATGATGAGACAATTTAAAAACTATTATAGTCGCGTGATTGACCATTTATGTATGTATATAATTTAACTTGGATAAAAATGTATATAAAATTTCATGATTCCTGTTCTGGAATTGGATCATTTATAAGAATTAGTCTTATTCAGATGATCTTTGACCAATAGATAATACTAATCCCGAAATGGTTCAAATCCCGAACAATTCTGATACATGATTTTAATTGAGCAAATTTTTTAAATAAGATAATTATCAGGGTCTGGTACGAAATTCCTAAGAACACGATCCCGAACGTGCATAACGAGTCCCGAAATTATAGCATCCTAAATGCATAGGAATACCAAGATTTCGGGATTTTCGTTCGTTTGGGATGTCATTTATTCGGTATTTCGATCTTTCGGGATGCCGTTCATTTGGGATTTCGTTTGTTCGGGTGTTATTATTCGGGATTTCGTTTATTCGGGATTTCGATTTTTCGGGATGTTAATTCTTATCTGGATTTCGATTTTCCGGGATGCCGTTCTTTGGAAATTTCGTTTGTCATGCTTATGAACGTTCAGGATTTTGAATGTTACCGAAATTATGATATACAGTAGTTTGAAATACGATAACTTTTATAAGAAATTATTATATCTCAAATTGTATCTCCTCAATATTTACATATTATCTTATTTAAAACTTTTGCCTAATTATTTAATAGGTTTTATATTTTAATGTAATAGAGAGATTACAGTAATAATCAGAATGCATTCTTTATAAATGCACACACTATATAAATTCTTTCTTAATGCATGATTTGGCTCAGGTTTAGCTAATATAAATAAAAATATTTATTTTCGAAAAATTACTTGTGAAATTGTCTTGTACATTATTCTAACAAAAAACATTTCTTGTGAGATTTTACTATTTATATCTTAAGTAATTTAAGCCAACTTTTAATTAAATTAATTTTGTTTCAATCAAATTTTTGATTTTTTACAGATATATAATTATATAAATATATATACAGTAGTGGTCAAAAGTAGCCGATCCCTTATAACTTTTTATACTAAATATTTTTTGTTTTAAACTTAATTAAAATTACTGTATTAAAATTTATATATTTATACTACATATAATAACAAAAAATTTAATGTAATTTAATAACCAGTTGTTGAAGTTAAATTTTAAATTTTGATATTAAATTATTTTTTTATATACATATATAATAAAATTTAATAAATTTTAATTTTAATTTCTTAATGATTGTCTTATTAAATTATATCAAAATTTTTATTACTAATATAAAAATACTTAAATTTTAATATATTAAATTTTAAGAAATTTTAATTATTAATATAATTATTTTTTATTATATTTGATTAATATTTTTTATTTTTATAAAAAATTAATTTTAAAATTTAGCACTCATTTAAATTTATTTAGTAATTATAAAAAAATTATATAGAATTTAGATTTATATTATACTATCTGAATATTTTAAGACAATTAATTTTTAATTTAAAAAGTTAAAGAAGATTAGATACTTTTAATTATTACTATATATATAATAATATAAGATATATAAAATTAATAAAGAAATAAATAAGATTTTAAATATATAATTTTTTATTATATAAGTATAATAAAAATTCTTGTAGTTTATATAAAGCTTTATTATAAATTATAATTATATTCTTTTATAATATCTTTATTATTATTAAGTTTATATATTTTTATATTATTATATTTTTATATATTATTTATTATTATATATTATTATTTTTATATATTAATAAAATTATATATTATATAATCAAAACTTTTTATACTTATTTAATTTATATTTTTCAGTTATTAAATAGTTTATACTTAAAAAAATTTCTTTATAATTATTTATTTTTTCAAAAATAATAATTAAAATTTTATTTGAATTTATTTAAATTAAGTTTGAAAATATTCTAATTTGATATAAAAATTTAATTCTATTTAAATTAAATTTAATTCAAATATAAATTAATTTAAATTAATAATATTTAAATTAAATTAAATTTTAATTTATTTAATAATTAATAAATATTAAATTATATAATTTTTAAGAGATAAATTAATTAATTATGAGAATAATATATAATAAAAGAATTTATTTATAAAATTACTTTTATATTTAATAAAAAATTTTCTTATAAAATTTTATTATATATTCTTTTTATAAAATATAATCTAATTTTAATTTTAATTTTAAGTTTAATTTTAATTTTAAGTTTAATTTTAATTAAAATAATTAAAATATTTATATTTTATAATTTAATTTATTTATTTTTTAAAAAATTATATAATTTGATATTTTTTATATATATTATTAATTTAATAATAATATTAAATTTTATTATATTTAAATAAAAAATTTAATATTTTAATAATATAATTTATATTTTTAATATTTTATAATTAAATTAAATATATATTATATCTTATAATATTACAAAATATATTATTATTTTAAAAATTATTATTAATAAAATTTGAATTATTAATATATTAAATTATTAAAAATTATAAAATATAAAAATTTTATATTATAATTAAATCTTTTTATAATTATTTGTTTTATAATTTTTTATAATTATAATAATAATCAAATTTAATTTTAATTAATATTATATATTTTTTTATAATTATTTAATTTTTTTCAAGTATAATAGTTTTAATTATATTAAAATTATAAGTTATTAAAATTTAAATTATTAAAATTTTTTTATTTAATATAATAAAATTATATTATTTAATATTATTATTAAATAAATATGATCCAGTGCAAAAATATTAATATATTATATTATTATAGTAAAATTTTTTTAAAAAAAACTAAATTTAAAATTTTCATAATCTATTTTATTTTTTAACTTCTGAAATTTATTTTGATATAATTTTTATTAGCTTTTATATATCAATTTCTTTATCTTTATAATAGATCAAATCTTCATTATCAAAATTATTATCAATTAATAATATATTATCAATTATAATATTATATTTTTTCACCCTATCTAATGATCATTTTTATAAACTAATAATAGTTTTGGATGTAATTTTTTCTTTAAAAGTATCTAATAATTTATTTCTAATAGAAAAAAGATTAGGATATAGATCTAATTGAGAAATATTACCTTTTACTATTATTCAAATATCTTTAATTAGTTGAAGTTCACAATGATAGGATGAAATATAAAATAAATTATATCTATAATTTTTAACTATTTTGATATATTTAAAAGAAATATTTATTTTATTTTATTTAACTAGTTGATAAAGTTCTGCTTTACTAAAATCTTCTGAAATATCAATATTCTTACAGATTAATCAAGTAAATAAATCACTTTTTTTTATATTTAATTTTGATATCTTTTCAATTTATTATTTATAATAATGAGTATTATCCATATAGATATCTACTTTGTTATAAAGATTTTTAATATTACTACAGAGTTTGTCAAAAATATCTTCAAAAATATTAGCTATAAAGTTATTATAATAATTAATATTATCAATTATGATATTGATATATTATATATTATCAGGAATATCTTCCCAAGAATCAGCATTAGCACATCTTTCTCCTCTCATTAATAATAATTTAATTAATAAATTCTATATTAAAAGAGAACTAAAAACTAATTCTCCAAATATTTTATTGAAGTTACAATTTTATACAATAATAATTATATCAAAAATAATATGAAATAGATTATAGCCAGATAAAAATATAATTTTCTGATGTGAAATCTATATATTATTATTAGTATAATAAAGATGATAATATGATTTATCTAAAAAAAACTTCTGATCTAATTAATATATTATTTTTTTCTTGTAAATTTGCAAATTATTTCTATAAATATTGATTATAAAATATAATATTTACAAAAACTTATATAAAATATTATGATACTCTTCATAATTATAATAATAGTTCAAAATATACAACAAATATAATAACTGTCATTTTGAAAGATTATGATCATTTCATTAAGTTTTTGATGCAAAATTGATATTAAAAATAATTTATCAGAGATATTTGCAATGATTATTATATTATATAAAACTTTAGTAATTTTGAAATTAGATTTATTTTGTGATTTACTGATCATTTTATACATTATAAAATTACTATCATTTCTCTGATTTCAGTTAATAACTACTCTTGCAATTGTTTTCTTCCTAACATTAAGAGTTATCATAATATACTTGCATAGTGATATACTTATTTTCATCATAAATATTTAAAAAGTACTGATAAATACTGATAATTATCTATTATTTATTATCTGTTAACAAACTTTTTTTCATTTCAAGTCAGATATATAAAAAAAATCACTAAATTAGTTAAAAATAAAAAGATATATCTCTCATGTTTTGTTTTTATAAGTTGAATTGTCAATTTAAATATTTAATCACCATTCAATATGAAAAAATTTTCTGGAATAATATTGATATACCAATCTTTTTACACTAAATCATAATATTAATAACTAATAATATTTATTAAATTAATATTATTATTAATATTATTAAATATTAATAAAAAAATATTAAAAAATTAATTAAATTATAAATTAAAATATTAAAATATAAATTAAAATTAAAATTATATTATAATTATATAAAAAATTTTAAATATTTATTTATAATTAATTAATAATTTAAAAAGAATATAATAAAAAAATATAATTATAAAGAAATATAATTATAAAAAAATCTGATTATATATAATAAAAAATATTTTTTATTAAAATATAAGAATAATTTTATAAGTAAAATTTATTTATTATATAATTAAATTTTTTTATAATTATATTTCTTTATAATTATTTTTTTTATAGTTATCTTTTTTAAGTTTTTTAATTACTAATTAATTATAATTAAAAAAAATCTTTTTATAATTATATCTCTTTTTAATTATTTAATTTTACTTTTTTAAGTATAATA